GATTTCCTTCTTCATCTCTACAGGAGGATGTGCCTACACCAAAACTTTCGGTTTGGTGTCTCAGATTTCTCTACTTTTCACTTTATGGAGATAACCGATATGTGCACTGATCGGCTGAAATTATTTTGTCTCTTTCATATGATTTTCATATAAGGGGACCCCCCCATTCTCGGGGTCAACATTTTTTTTTTTTTTTTTTTATTTAATTCGAATCTATTCTAATTCAAGAATGTACCTACAAAATTTCAAGTGAAAATCTCAAGAACTCTTGAAAATATAGCCGATTTATTGTGTCAGCAAACTTCTCAAACTTTAAACGCGTTTTTCTCTTTTGCGAATGGCAGGCACGATAACTCAAAAACTAATGGTCCGATCGATTCCAAATTTTTACACGTTTCTCTGTGAGTGTATAGCTATCGTATGAACTAGGATAAAGCAAATCGGTGAAGATCTTCCTTATTTTTTAACTTAATTTTTGGTCAAAAATCGGCGATTTTCCAAAAATATTTTTTTAAAGCTCCGCCATTTTGTTAATTTTAGAGCGAAGTCAATAATCCTAGTTCATACGAGAGCCAGACATGTACTCTTCCTAACACCGTTGGAATTTTCGGATTCCGATGTTCCAGTGAGTAGTTATCATGCCCGCCATCAAAAATAAGGACTTTTCTTTAATTACAAAAAACAACAACAAAACAATAACAAAAATTTTTTGTAAATTATTTTACTTCTCTTTAAATTTTCAATTATATATGTGCAAAGTTACAAACCTTAACAAGCATTGGTATTGATTTACCAACCCACTGAAAATCTTGAAAAATTAAAATCGAGAATGGGTTGGGTTCCCTTAAGAGAAACCCGAAAATACGTTTTTGGGGAAATACAAAAATTATAAATTCCAAATTCTGACAAAAAATTGAGTTCAAATCTTATTTTTATTTTAAAATTTTTAATTTTTATTTTTTGCAAACAAGTTTTAGTATGTTTTAGTATATGTGAAGAATTGTCAGATGACAGTCATTTGAAATGACCTCAAAGCCAGTGTAAATAACCTTAATTTATTTTCAGCATTTCGTAAATCCTCATCATATACGTGTGTATGTAAATGCGCTATAAGATTTATGTTCTGTACAATTTGGCAACATTTGCAAAACGAGAGAACGAATAAGAACAGTGAATAATGGAACTAGACGAAAAAGGGAATTGCACATATTGCACTGAAACACTAGTTCACGTTCAGTTTCCTTTGAACTTCATCAATTCTTCCATGTCTCTTTCTAAACAAAGGGTATCGGCGTTATACGTCACCCTCCTTCGTAAATAATCGGTCATTTTACTTCGTATTCGTATTTTATTGCACGTTCTCTCATCTTCCCCTTTTATTAATTGCATGTAAACGCTTTTAAGTTAGGTCGGTTCTTTCAGTAACAAAAAGCAAAAAAATAAAATAAATAAAATAAAGAAAAAGGAAGGAATATGAACGGAGCAATACCCAAGGAAATAAAAAACACTTCATCAAACAACATAGCCAATGGAAATGGAGCCGCTGCCATGATGGTGCGTAACAACAATCCGGGCGAACGTATTACATTGCTGGTGGACAATGTTCGTTTCATCATCGAGAAGGATTTGGTGACTGCACATCCCAACACAATGTTGGGCACCATGTTCAGCACAGGCTTCCAGTTTGTCCATCCCAACGAAAGAGGTGAATACGAGGTGGCCGATGGCATCTCGCACACATTGTTTCGTGCAATTCTTGACTACTACAAGACTGGGCTGATAAAGTGTCCTCCCACCATATCTGTACCGGAATTGAAGGAGGCTTGCGACTACTTACTGATCCCCTTCGATGCCACCACAGTACGCTGCCAAAATTTACGTGGCCTTCTACACGAACTGAGCAACGAGGGAGCTCGCCAGCAATTCGAGCTGTTTTTGGAAGAGTTCATATTGCCGGTCATGGTTACGGCAGCACAAAGGGGTGACCGTGAATGTCATGTCGTTGTGTTGTTGGACGACGATGTTGTCGATTGGGACGAAGAGTTCCCGCCCCAAATGGGTGAAGAATACTGCCAGACCATTCACAGTACCACAATGCATCGTTTCTTCAAATACATTGAAAACCGAGATGTGGCCAAACAGGTTATGAAAGATCGTGGCCTGAAGAAGATACGCTGTGGTATCGAAGGTTATCCCACACACAAAGAAAAAATACGCCGTCGCCCGGGAGGTCGTGCCGAAGTCATTTACAGTTATGTTCAAAGACCCTTCATACACATGTCCTGGGAAAAGGAAGAGGCCAAGAGCCGTCATGTTGACTTTCAGTGTGTCAAGTCGAAATCGGTTACCAATTTAGCTGAAGCTACGGCGGATCCTCCTTTGGAATTGGATGCCAGCGGTAATCCCATACCACCGCCACCAGAAAATGTTGTTGCATTTCGTGCCGATGCCGACGCCGGGATCGATGGCGGTGCGGTGGACGATGCTGTTGCCGCTGATGGCGGCGAGCTGGAAGCTGCCGGTGGTGCTAACGAGGAAAATGCTTAAATGTTGTCACAGCCGTAGTAGTAGTATGGTAAAATCGGAGTATACGAAATAATCGAATTATGATCGTATACGTATCGGCGGAATACGTTTCGGAATACATACTATAAAAAATTTTTGAAATCCTTATTGAATCACACATAGGTATGCATAAACATAAACAAAACAAACAAACAACAAATAAATATACATACATATATATAAACACTTTTTTACATATTTTGTAATACTCAAATCATTTGAATATCTCAAAATCAGTATTTAATCACTGTAAGCAGTTTAATCATTTTTTTTTTGTTTGTTCGATCTTATTTTCTATCTTTCTTTATTTTTGCGCAAATGGATAATTTTGCCTTTAAAATCATTTATTTTACACAGCAAACAAATAAGAAAATTTAGATATATAATAAAAAAATAAATAATAATAAAATACGCAATTTTTTCTAAATAAACTACTGTTGTTCTTATTTGTAATTTATGATTGGGTGCGTAAGTATTGTTATTGCAAATTCGAAAAAAAATATTCTGTTAAGTTAAAACTCTTGACAGTTTTTATTAAATATATCCTAGACAGCATATACCACAATTTCTTATTTTACCACTTCATACCATTAGGGGGACCTTCATTTTAATAATTAGCTTTCGATTAAATGTATATTTGCATTAATTCATTAAATTGTTTTTAGGGATCTGAAAAATATTTAAGTATCATTGACAATATTTGTTGTTCTTTAATCACGTGGCACATATGTGCTCATCTAAATTTAGCGCAGCAATTCATTTAAAAATTCGGGATTTGTTCGCAAATTGGTATTTAAGGATCTGAGCTAGATGTAGGTACTTAAAATTACAGTTCGGACTGTATCATTAACATTACTGTTGTAAAGCAATTGTTATTTCGGCGAATTACTACTCACATTGAATTCTTGTTTTATTTTCCATACTCTCGTAGCTTTACTGTAGAGGAATATTTCAACATCCGGATTGTCTTATTTTTGAGCTAATGTTGTATTTTTGAATTTCGTACTTTTAGGTGTTTATTCGAACTGCATTAAAAATCAATAACTGTGGTTAGGCCCGTTATGTGGCAATAATACGAATTTTGTAAAAAAGTAAACAAGAACAGGCCTACATTCTGGAAGGTTCTAATTAGGTCTTTATATAAGGAACATAGCAACGAAATATGAAAAGTTGGGTTTTCTTTATATTGGAGACACATAGAACCCATAATATAAAATTATAGCCAATTCAGTTGCAAAACGTGTCTAAAATTACAAAAATTTAATAAATAATAATTATTTATGGAAATTTGTTACCCAATTAGAACTCAAAATATGAAATAACAGATAATTCTGTTGGAAAATATGCCTAAAAATCCTGAAAATATCTTTTCTAAATATATCACTGAAATTTCATTAAATCTATGAAATCTATTAATTTGTTTTAATTTATGAAAGTAAATATTGATAAAGATTTTAAAAATATTGATGACAAAGATGACAGGTTATAAAAATAGATGACAGATAGAGGACAAAAATTTTATAGATGACAGTCAATTAAAATATATGGTTGTCCTCTAAAAAAGAGGATGTATGGTCACCTTACTTGAAGCCATAAAGTCAGAATATATGACAAAAATTTTGGAAGTTAGGAAGCGTGATTTTCATCCTTCCATATTAGACTCATTCGGAATGCCTATAATAATTGGCTATTCATGAGCTTTGATCTAAAAAACAAGGATTTGAAACGAAGAAACTATTTTATTTACGAAATTGTTTAATAAGATTAAGTTTTATGGTTGATGTCAGAACTTTATGAGTTTATCATCACAGAGCTATAATAAGATATTTTTATTAGTCTAATATTTATGCCAAAATATAGAACACACCAGTTATAATATATGACTAAAAAAAAATTAAAAAAATATAGATCTAAAGGTTCAGTTCCAGGCTAAGTTAAATGCCAAAATTCTACCTTTAACCGTTACTTTTTTGTAAGAGTTTCTGAAACCCTTGCTTACAAATACCCTGTTCAAAAAAATCTTGAAATTCAAATATGGTATGTTCCCGTACTGCAAGAATCTACTATTTTTTACTCCGATAAAACTTTTTTCCTTTATATGGTCTGTTCCCGTACTGCAAGAATCTACTAGACTTTACTATTTTCTTCGATAACATAAAGGAAAATTAGTTATCTTAGTAAAAAGTAGTAGATTCTTGCAGTACGGGAACAGACAAATAATATCGAAAAAAAATAGTAAAAACTCGTAGATTCTTGCAGTACAGGAACAGACCAATAGTAAAAAGAACGCATATAAATTCTGAAAGGTACTAATTGGATATTTCATATTTACATTAGTCTTATAGTCAGACTATATGACATCGATTATAAATATTTTGGGAGTTGGAAAACGTGATTTACCTCTTCCAAAAAGTATAAAATCGAATACATATTTCCCATATAGAATGAATATTATTATTAAATTGTAGTACCATGGGGAAATTGCTTATTTGGAAATTCACATTCCCAATTTTTTTATAATAGGGGTGATAGCTAATGCCCATATCATTTTTTGGGCATTTCCCTTAAGAGGTTTTGTATTGTCGTGCATACCTTCATTACACAAACCTAATTTTTTTACAGAATATGTTAAGATGACAACACTTTGTTAATGTAAATCGTGTCGTTTCGAATGGAAAGACCAACGTTTGCAGAAATGCATTGACATGTCTGAAATATTACGAAAATGCATAGTTCATTCAAAAATTCTATATTTTCAATCCGAAGGAAACATACATATGTATTGGACTTTCGGTGGTTTAATCTCCAAATAATTTTCAACATTCTTTTTGACTTTTCCAGACAAAACAATTAACAAACATCTACTATAATTATAGCCTAAAGAAGTTCAAAATCCCAAACCCAAAAAATAACAATCAATATATATTTGTAATTTTTATTGTATTATTTTTTTACAAAAACAGTTTTACACAACTAAATATTAGGTATAAAAAATTACATGCTTTCAGAAGAACTGAAATTTCATATTTTATTTGTAATAAATTTCAAGAAATTGATTTCTCGTATATAGGTATAGGTATTTGTGTGGATTTTTTAATGGATTAATTCCATTGTTTACTACAAAAACAAAACTAAATTAAAACGTTTTTACCAATGAATGCATATTCAAATACAAAAATGAGGTAAGATCTGGTACGAAAAAAAACTTAACACAACTATATGAATAATAATAGTAATAATAATAATAAAACATGGAAACGCATTTTAAATAAAAAACACACGTAAATGATTTGCTTCTTTGAAATGGCTGACATCAGGATGCATCTTTCCCAGAAAAAACAACTGCTCTAACCTTGAACTGAAACATTATTTGTAATCTTTGAGGCATCTGCGTTGTTGGTTGTGTTTGATGTAGAGGCTGCTGTCGCTGTTGCAGGATCAGGCAAATCTGTACGTGGTCGCCGAAACAGGATGACATGTGGTTCGGGAGCATGCATCATATAGTGTACCCAACCAGGACTTTGTTGAACACCCAAGTTGCGCCATTCCGTTTCGGTCATCAAATGTGATTTGGGTACGAGTTTGGTTAGTTCTGCCGGCAATATAACATGTCTGCAAATAAAAAAGGGAAGGAAAGAAATGAAAGTATTTTTAAATGACCCAAATATTTTGTATTGCGATGTGAATGAAATGTGGCGTCGTATTCATTTGTCTTACAACGTAGATATGTATTTACCGATATTCGTAGACAGCATCGAAATATTTCTCCGAATATTGAATTTGATCGGCAGACATTTTGCAACAAGTTTATTTAAATTTTATTTAAATACTTGAATTGTTTACTTCCTTCAATTGGTTAATGCGTCGTCTGTTGCTTTGTTTGTTGATATTCCTTTCTTTTGACTACCTGAACTAGTTCAATGGAACGATTCCGTGTAATGAACGATAGGAACGATTTCCCGTTCATTCGTTTATTTCGTATCTTTAGTTCAACTAGTTCACTTTGCTCTGTCGAATTTATCGATTGATCGTGTTTGCTTGAATTTTTTGGTATGCAATGTGAAAAATATTTAAAAACAAAAATAAGTAGCTGTTTTATATTATTCTCATCAACTTGTATTATTGTACCATAAAAAGGTGGAATAAGTTTTCTTGTACAACAAACGATACAACTACCACATGGAAATTTGTTGTTGTAATTAATACTAGTGTCAATGTCATTTAATCGAAAAATGTAAACCAAACATACAAAGTAACAAACATTTTTATTTATTTTTTTAACATAATATTTTGGAATCCTCAAAATAAAATTGAAAAAAATGCATGAAAATCTATTAATTTTATTTTTCTATCGCTTCTACATCTTTCCTTCATCTTTATACCGACACCACCATTACGTTGGAATGAAATCAGCTGGGTTTTGCAGTTACCTTTTATAATTTCAGCTGTCAGCTGGTATTTGTTGACATATACACACACTCACACTTTCTACAAAAAGAAAAAATGTTATGACGAATTTTATAATAAAAAAATAAGATTTTAACTTAAATACATATTTTCGGTTTTCTCTTAAAGGAAAATCACCTAAAAGAGACAAAATAATTTCAGCCGATCAGTGCACATAACGGTTAACTCCATAAAATGAAAAGTAGATAAATCTGAATATATTTTTTGTTTTTAAAATTTCATTAATAATATGAATTTTACTATATATTCCCGGCAAAATAATAAAGGTAGTCTCATTTAAAAATTTTAAAAACAACCTTGCGTGTGCCTTATCCTATCAAATATACACAACCATGCATCTTAAAAACATGATTGTTGTAGTTATTGAATGTCAGTTTTAAAACAAAAACAAATTTGAATATTTTCGTTATGTTTTTAAAATAGTTCGTTTGTAAACGGAAAATTGTGTAAAAAAATTAATAAAGCTAAGCAAACATTTTGCGGATAAGGAGAACACCCCCCTATATGAGAAAAACGGAAGACAAGTCATGTATCCCATCAGAATCGTAGTGATAATCAGAAGACGCATAGTTGATATATCAACATCATGTCATAATTATACAAGGTAGTTCCATGCAGCCATATGTTTCATATTTGTTCATAAATTTGCCTTTGACAGCAGTTAGCTTTCAAAATATAAATGAAAAAAAAAAGCATTTGAGTAGATTTAAGGCACATTTTGACTATGCCTTCTAAATCGGCTCGATTTATGAATCGTCGTACGAAATCCTAGCTGTTTATACCAGTCTTAAAATTATATGAACTTGATTTGTCAGTATCAATTACATATCACTGGTTTAATAATTTCTGTGCCATTTTCAATAAATATTTTCATAATTGTGTTTGGAATAGCTCTTTTATAAATGTATAAAAACATTTTGTAGCATACTTTAAGGAAAAATCGTTATTTTTGAAACTATCCCAATTAAACATACGATTTCGAGCAAATTGAAATATTAGCTGTCTGTTTACTCGATATTTGGTAACAATTGTTACCAAATGCTGTCTGTTTACACAAAAATCCAGTAAAAGAGAGTCAAGCGAGAGAGCAAGTTTGACAGTTCAACAACAACAAACTTACTGGAGTTTACTGAAAGAATTTTATTCTGTAAGATTTTGCAAACTCAGCATTTTTCGATCAGCTGTTTTATGACCAAACACAAAAATTATTCACAACATTTTTTTTAATTTGCAATGTTCAATTTGAAGTTAAGTTGTATAAAAATTACTGAAAATGGAAGAAAATTCGTAAATAATGCAAAGTTTCATTAAATTAGAAACTAATTCCTTATATATTTTTAGGCAAGTTCAGATAGAGGGCAATATATTGATGCAGAAAGCTTAAATGTTCCCGGGGAACATACCAAATCAATTTTTCTTTTATTGTTCATTTTATTTTTAATATTAAATGCATTACAATTAATTGTGTTTGTCCTTTGTTTGTTTGTTTATTTTGGCGCAAATCAAATGTTTTCTTGTATCAGCTGTTTATTTGCTAAATCTTACTAAATGTTGTCTGTTTATTTTTCTCAGTACTATCGCAAAAGAGAGTAAAAACGGCTTACTCTCTGAACTAGAACTTACTGAATAAATGTTACTGGAAAAGTAACCAGACACACCCATTATACCTATTGGAAAACGAGGTAAATCACTATAAAAGCTATGGTCTAAACGCGCCTATAATTTTGTATGGCAAATCAAACAAATTTGTTGTTTTAAATTATAGAATTTTTTATTATAAATCAAAAAAAAAAATAATGTTTGTTGTATACAATGTATTCAAATTTTAACGGTTCTTAAAAATACAATAATAATATAAATAAATTAATGCGCATGTCCTTTAAAATGTCAATGAAAAGAAATTTAGAAAAGCAAAGAATAATACGTAAAAAACTTCAATAAAACAGATTCAAAACAAAATATATTTAGAAAGCATATTGTGTGGCGAGGGGAGAAGTGTTTTCCCATTTCACCTGTATATATGTGTGTGTTTTGGTTGGGTAATACCACAACAAATCATTCACTCAGGAGGAAATCTTCAGCAAGAACAGAAGTAGAGAATGGGAGAAATATGCGCGGGATAGAAAAATGGAAAATGTTTATTTGCATGTGTTAAAAAATATAGCACATGCATGGTACAATTATTCCATGGTAGGATACAAGGTGGCTTGTTCATTCAAATCAAAATACATATTTTGTGTATATGTATTGCTATGAATAATATCAATAATATCATTTTGACAAAAAATGCGAAATAAACGAACCACTTGTTTCGAATGTTTTCACATATAACAGAATGTTATATGTTGTGATTTTTTGGTTTTGTTTTTTTTTTTATAACCAACCAAATATTGTGTAATGTGTAGAAATGCTTAATTTCAAGTAGAAATAATATTAAGAAGTATTGTTTCAACAGAATATGCATAAACACATAATAGCTGTTTACTCCAAAGTCTAGTAAAAGAGAGTGGAGAGAGAGCTAGTTTGACAGTTATGCGCTGAGAACTTATAATAAATACAAAATTAATAAACAAATATGTTTTTTGAAAAAAAAAATTTAAAATATGTTTTTGAATATAATTTGCATTTGCCAAAGCAATGCCAAAAACTAATAAAGTGTACAACAATTACAATTCTTATAAATCACTTTACAGACATTTTCATAAAGTGTCAAAAAGATTGGAAAATAAGAAATAAGACAGCATATATATTTGTTCAGTAAGAAATATGCAGTTTTTAATTTAATTAAATATTTTTTCATTATATCAACAAAGACACTTTCTGTGTAAAATCTTACAAATCTTTTGTGCGGCATCTTGCGACCTATCATCATTACTGTGATTTTCAGCAAAAATAATTCACAGTTTTGTTAATATGCAATTTTATCCTCATTTAAAAACACAATTTGTGAAACACTTTGTTATAGAATCGTACACTGCTGTACGTACAAAATATTGTATATGTTTTTGGACAAATGTGGCTTTTGCACCCTCTTACCTTCCTGTTTAGCTCAAAATTGCATATGTTTTCTTGTTACAATGGATATTTTTATGAACGCTTCCTTGCACATAAAAATAATTACTTACTAAGAAAGTTAGTACAGATGGCAAAAAATCAGTAACCTTTTTGGCTGTTCTGCAAGAATGTAAAATTTAATTTTTTTTTTAAATTTTAAAAATTTACTTTATCATATCCAAAAAAAATTCTAGATTCTTGAATTTTCGAAACAGACCAATTAGTTAAAATTTGTTGCTGTTTGATTCCATATTATCGCCAATTTTATTTCAATAACGATGTTGTTTTAGAATGTTTGGGGTTTTATCTTTTATTAAATACAATTTGCTGCCTTAAATTACATTTAAGTACATTTAATCCCTATAACAGGCACAATTTTGCATTATTTACCATTGTAAATTTCAGCGTCATTTATATTAAACAGCGCATACTATGCTATACAATTCTGTTTTTGTGCCATAAAGCACTAAAAGTTGCAACTGTTCTCATTTAATTAAAATATTATGTTTAGATGTAAAAGTTCTTAGTATAGTCATAACATTTTATTCTTGTAATAACTTTTCTGAATAATAAACATTATGCATTAAAGCAATTTTAAAAACAACATATATCATCGGATTTATCAACTTTTCTTTTTGTGGAGTTAAATAACCTAGATTTAGCATAGTAGCGCATTTACATAGGCACATACTGTGGATTTAGGAAATCCTGAAAATAAATGAAGGTTATTTACACTTATTTACCATACAAAATTAAATCCATTCAATATCTCGATTTACTCTAAATCCTATGCTAAATCGGGATAATTTCAAATGCAACCCTGCTCATTTCTTAAAATTTCTCCTTAAAATGTGATTTAAAATTAGGTAATACTCAAAATAACTGCGTGACAAAAATGTGTCAACTGCTCAAAATGTATTTTTTGTTTGCATTCATAATAAACATTACTATAATTTAGAAGGACAAAGGATTTTATGCAATTCTGACCTAATAAAAAACAATTTCTATCAAAATTATGAAAATATTGGTTGAAAATTGCCATAGACATAGAAGCAGTGAAATGTGTATGTATACGTAAACAAATAAGTGCTAACAAATCAACTTCATTTCATTATAATACTAGTTTAAACAGTTATGATTTGATATCTCGATTTACAAATAGAGTCGATTTATATATTAAGATTTCAAATACAACACTGCTTTTGCACCAAAAAATTATAATAATGACTTCTCCTTAAAGTAAGCTAGAAAATACCAAGGTGTATTTAATAAGGTGTATGCATCAGATACAACAACACATATTTTATTGGGGGCTAGGTCAGTGAAAAATAATGTTTAAGACCTGATCGCGATTAATTTTAAGTTTCCCACATGTAGCCCATGGCTCCTTGTGATGTTGTTTATATTGTGGATTACAATCTATTTTTTCTATGGAGTGGCTTCAAATCTTGCCTTCTTAAAGAAAATTGAAGGACATAAATCCCCGGCCAAAGACTAAATCATGGAAATTGTCTTGACCGTATAAAATCTTTCCATAGGCGTATTTAACCTCCGCCGAGAATTGTGACAAGCACCAAGAGGCCTATTCCAATATAGGCTAACATAATCTAGATTTTATGAGTAGCTAGAATTTCTAGACAGATTTCAATGCATAGCATAAAATATGTGGACCAATTGGCGAACGGGGTTATAACTGAGCCTAGGTTTCCTTTCCGTCCCCTTCTATGAATGTAGTTTTATTGAATTTTTATTATTAAAAAAGCCTAAATTAAAGGCCATTTTTAAATCGAAATGTAATATTGAAAATGTTTTTGACAATTTATTTTACAAACAATAAAGAAAAAAGTTTGAAACCATATGATTGTCACTTACACCTTATTAAACACACATTGGAAAATACGCTACCTACTAAAAATATGTCAGTTGAGGAAAATTTGTTTTTTTTTTAATTTTTTATGAATTACTATATTTTACAGCAACAAATGTTTTTATAATTATTTAAATAGGTAGGATTTGGTATCTCTATTAACAAATCTAGTCGATTTAGAGGACATAAGTCTATGTTGAAAATGTATTTAAAGAAGTGTCTAAAACCCTCAAAATACTGAACATGTATATGGCCCCTGAAATGCCAAATTATAGCCCATGGTACAATTATAAAAGGTAACAGCAAATCCCAGCTGATTTGATTCCAACGTAATACTAGTGTCAATATGAATTTGACAAATTATGTTTTTAAAAATCACCCAACAGGAAAATTGGGAACGCATTCAATTTGTAATTGTTCTTTATTAAATGTGCTCCCGTATTCAACTTACTCAATCTGCCTGCTGGGAAAGTTTGAGGAAGCAAATATTTCTTCAAGGAACAACTCGCTATTTCCTGCTTTTTCATATGTGTTACACATATATATGGCAATGGCTCAATTATAGGAAAGATGTGGAAGCCATAGAAATATAAATTTGATAGATTTTCATTCATGTTGTTCAATTTTTATTGTGAGGATTCGAAAATATTTCATTTTCAAAATAAAAATAATTTGATGATAATTTGTTTGTTTGTTAACATTTTTCTGTCAAATGAGTTGGCACTAGTAGAACTTACAACAACAAATTTCCATGTGGTTGTTGTATCGTTTTTTGTACAACAACACTTGCTGTTACCTTCTATTATTATACCATGATTATAGCCTAACCGAAAATTGAGTGAGGCCTGATCAATTTCTGTGCAGATGTAAGCCAGACTCCAAAAGCCCGAAATGCTAAATTATAGCATTTTCAGTTGGTAAATGCATTTGGTTTCATTATAATTTTCCTCCTTAGTGCTACAGCCTGTGCTACGACCAGAAGAAAAATCGACTTACGGTAGTCGACTGGAGCTTTTATATACACAGAAAAAAAAGCCACCCCAAAATTTTTGATTAAAAGCTTCATCAGCGTTCGGCAAAAAGATGTCGATAACATATTTCAAACATAGTCGGAAATGTTTATCAAACACCAACAATTCACAAAAAAAACCATCAACAAACGAGTTTGACCAAAAAAATTATTAAATTTGTTGGACAATTTTTAATAATTTTTTTTGTAATATGCCATATTATTTTTTATTACGTTATTACAAAGTACTTTGTTGAATAGATTTAAAAGATGGATAACAAATATAAGTTTTTATTCGGTATAGAGCTACACATTTAGTTTAAAGCCGTTAAAATACTGAAAATTTGGAGGTATTTTTGTGGTAGAGCTGTAATAATAAGGGTAAAAATCGGCAATTGCTGTTTAAAAGGTTTTGTATCGTACTACAAGAAATTTAATTTGAAATAATAATAATAATTTGATAAACAAGATTGTCAATATGAAAAATAATTTATCGATTAACAAAATAAAATTCAACAAAATTTTTAGTATATATGAGAATTGCTTTATCAAAATATTTTCGAATGGGATTACAATTTTTTTTATCGGCGATTGTAAATATGAACATTATTTTTATCGGCGAAAAATCAATCAAATTTTAATTGGATTTTTGAATTTTTTTATCAAATGGTTACAATTTTTTTCTGTGTATAATGTTGTCCGATTTCATATACATCGACTAATGGTAGTACGATTAGACTTTTATTTATAATTTTGTCCGATTTAATATACACCGATATCCCTATGTTCATCCTATTAACATGATATTTGGTCGGTTTATTAATTGTGATCCATAAATAGGAGAACCTCTTGTATATACTGGTTATTTATTAAATATAACTATTTCATATTAAAATCACAATTACATTACTAAACGCATTAGAATACATTTACTAATAACTGTCAATGCTAGTAACGTGCGCTCAGTAGCCACTTCAACTACCAGCTGGTCATTAATGTGTGTTGATTTGAAACATTGGTTGGCATGTTGGTGACATTTCATCACATGGACATGTTAGTGACATCCTTGTATTGGTAATGGTGTTGTTGCTGATTTTTGAATTGTTTTTGTTGTAGTAATAGTAACTTAGTTTTAACACAGATGATGACATAGAAATGAAACCGTTATTAATTAACGAACACAATGGAAACCAAAGAAAAATTCTCATCAAATTAAGGTGACAGACAAATTTATCATTAATCGAGAGAGAGAGAGGGAAAACACTCATTCGCACACATGACCAGAGAGGAAGATATACAATATTCCAGAGCAATATGTATGTAATGTGTGTGTGTCCGTTGAATGAAAATCAATTAAATTGTGTGTAAATATCGAAGAGTTTATACACAACAACGCTATTAGCAAGTGTCAGTGGCCAAAATTTCCAAACAACTTTGCCAGTCCGTTCGTCCGTCCAGTATCAGACTGAATAACAAAACAACATTTTGGAGAGTGAGACAAAAGATGGAAAAAGGGAAACGAAACAAAAACAATCTATAAACTAGACAAACTATTTCCACATTTTTGTGTGTTTTTTTGGAATGGAGAAAAGAAAAGCGCACACACACAGACAACACGAAATATGTTCAAAGAATATTGCGGTGAAAGAAACAACGGAAATGTGTATGAAGAAGAATAAAATATGAAAACAATAAAAGCAGACGACGCGTAATTTTACTATTTTTTACTGAGGCACTGGGGCAGCAACATTAACGTGAACGAAATAGAAAGAAAAAATATATAGTAATTCCAAAAACAACAAAACCTTGCTATTTTTGTACTTCTCAACAAAAATATGGGAAAATATTGAATGAAGTCAGAAGAAACAAATCCATAAAGTAAAACGGGCTGTCTATAGAAATGTAGGTGAAAACAAAATAACGCTGCACAAAATAATTCTAAAAAAGTACACAAATTTTAAATGGAAAATAATATATAATTAAAATAATTATTAAGAGAGTAAGAAGTGATTTTTTGTTGGATAAATTATTAACAAACCCCTGAAACAATCAAAATAGCATCAACATGGAAACCATGAATCCAGTCGAATATATTATGAAATACCGATACAAAAAAAGAAAATGTTGAAAGAATCTTGTGGAATAAAAGAAAACAAAGAACACACATGGCATACGCGAAAGATGTGAAAAATAAATACACATGCAATTTACTGAGAGTGTAAAATAATCGAAACGTAATATTTATTTTAAAATAAATTACAATAGCATATTTTTGTAAAACTAATCATTAAAGAGTCCTTCAAAACCCCCCTGAAATAAAGTGCCTATGTTTCCCCCGGAAAATAAATAAAAACTAAAAATATACGTATATCGAATTGTGTGAAATAAAGTGAAAATTAATTTTCTATTTAAAAAAAATATTTATTTTCGATGTCTCCCATAAAAGATTGATATTAAATATTGTGATTGAAAATACAACTACAACAATTGCAAAATACAATATTATCGGTTTCAAATAATCTATCAAATACGCTGAAGCTACTACTAATATTGCCTATTCCCTCCCACAAATATCCCCACCAGTATATATTAATTACAAAAAAAAATAACAAAAACAACAACAATAATATTAACAACATTACATGAAAATTAACGCATTTAATGTCATCACTGGAAATTCTAAGGCCACACAAGGTGACACACTCCTTCACAAGTGCTCGATAGGTGCGTCTTACTGTGGCCATCATTCAAATGCCTTACCGCACACAGACACACAAACACTAACGGCCTTCACGTTTTGCTGTTAATCATATCCCTAAGGATATTTGTGTGCTGAACAATGTAGCCTGCTTCCTAACCACATTTGCTAAATAACAATAACAACATTAAAGTTAAGTATCACCAATGGACCTTTAAACGTCCCTAACAAACGGAGAGGTCTATCGACCGACCGACTGACCGAACCAACCTACCATTCGCCGCCCCAAGTCTTACACAAGTGCCATTTTGACCAATTACAGAGCAAACAGCAATCAACAGCAACTTTGTTAACATTCAACACCCAGTAGTCCCCAACCTTCTGCTTCATCCGGCACTTCAGTTCGGCGTCCATAGATTATCACCGTTCCGGCATAGCTTCGAAAATAGCAACAACGCCAACCTACAGCGGCAACAGCAGCAGTAGCAGAATATATCGGTGACATCGTCACAATAAAAACAAAAAATGGAAGCCAGTCTCATGTATGAAATCCTCATGTATTTGAATTCGTTCTATTTCGGTCTGTATGCTGCATTCAAGGTGTGTGTCAGTACCCTGAAATTTATTCTATTAACGTATCCCGAGAATGCCGTAATGAGAGAAGGTATTTTATTGCTGTCCATGTGTGTGTTGGAGACGGTGCGTATCATATTGGGCCGTCGTAGTAGTTTAAGTGCTCGTGGTAAGTATTTTGTAGAAAAATATTTTTTTTTTTGGGAAAATTAATATACATATATTTTATGTTTTCAGGACAATTGTTAGTAACCGCATACGATTTACTTTAGCAAAACTTGTCCTTATCCACTTTAAATTATATATTTATGCGTAAAGAGGACCTCGGTTAACTTGAGGTCAACAAACTATAAATATTTGTGTACGACATAGCAAACCCCAGGTGTAGAGTTCTCACGCTTCTCTTTGGGAGTATATGTTTACCTATTACACCTTCCTCACAAAGTTTGGGTTGGTGTAGGTTAGTTTAAATTATCTAAAGGTGTATCATGAATTGAGGACAAACACTCCACTCGAAGTGGTTTTTGTCCATATAAAATGGGAACATATGATTGAATATTACTTACAGGAACAGCCCAGAAGCTCCTGCACAGCTATAAATACCAATGTAAATTGTATTGTTAGCTGGTGGAAATCTAAACAGAGTTCTGTACACCCATCTATATACTTGTACAAAAATTAAGATGTGATAAGCTTTTTAAACGCTTTATCACAATTATATAAAATGGAAACATATATGGAATATAATTTTGAGTTCAGAACTTGTTTTTGACTTATTGGCGTTTTTTTCTTTACATGCCTCTGTTATGCCAGAAGCTTCCTTAATATGTATTCATAAAATATTTAATACAAATTAACTTTTTAAAGTCTTTATGGCCCATAGTCGGTAGTTATTGCTTTAATATACCTTTACCAGGCTATGAATTTTGGCATTGGAAGTATTATTTTTAGCAACGTTAGACGATACCGACCATGCCGAACATTTTATATCCTTCACTATTCTAAATAACTAAAATATGTCGGGACCTTATCATGAGAGCTCTGACATTAAGTTAAATATATGTGTACCAAAAAATCATTATTGTTGTACGAAAACAAAAAAGTCGATTTTTTGAAAATGGATTATTAAAAAAATTGACAATATTGTCCATGTATAAATTAGTTTGGGGAAAAAGAAATCCATTATTTTTATATCAACTTTATTTAACATGTCCGATTTGAGCCATATATGTCCCGTTTTGTTGTATGATATGTTGCCATTTTAAGATAACTTTTTAATGTCCTGCTCTCTATTTGCAAAAAACTCTAGTAGTCAATTTCCACAATCCTCCCTAGATACCAATTTTTTATCACTAAAGAAATTTTGCAATGTAAGAAAAATATGATAATCGCCTGGTGCCAAGTCCGGACTGTATGGCAGCTGCATTAAAACTTCCCAACCAAGCTCCCGAAGCTAGTCACTGCTGATGTATGTTGCCTAGCGTTGTCCTGGTGGAACACGACACCTCTCCTGTTGGGCAATTCCGGTCGTTTCTGGTCAATTGCTATCTTGAAACGGTTCAGTTGTTGACAGTAGAAATCAGAATTTAGCGTTTGGCCATATGGAAGCAACTCATAATAAAATAATCCCCTTCGAGTCCCACCAAATGTATAGCAGAGCCTTCCTGGCCGTTAGTTCTGGTTTGGCCACCGTTTGAGATGCTTCACCGCTTTTTTACCACGATCGTTTTCGCATAGGGTTATCGTATGCAATCCATTTCTCATCTCCAGTCACCATCCATTTAAGAAATGGGTCTATTTCATTCCGTTTGGCCAAGGCTTCGCAGATGGAAATTCGATACATTCTATTTTGTTCTGTTAATTGGTGTGACACCTAAACATTGAGCTTCTATTTGAATCCAGCTTTGTGTAAAAGTGTTTAAAACAGTTTTATGGTCGATTTTTAGCTCATGGGCGACATTACGACTGCTAACATACCGGTCAATTTCAATTTTATCAACATGATGGAGAATATTTTTGTCCTTTATACCATCCATCTAACACGACAGCTTGTGGGGATAATTGGTACAAAGTCGAAAAAAGTACGATTTTTATCCTAAAATAATGGGCCAAATATCAGTTTATACAAAGTGCGAATTTCTTCAAAAGTACAAAACTGCAACCCATATCAATTGTCAAAGGTTGTACTTGGAGTGAAAATCCTACTTGGAAATTATTGTTTATTTTTCACATTTTTAAGCGCGCACAACTCAAATTGGTCACCACACACTATTTTCGTAAACAATTAAATTGTTTTTCCAATATTTATACCCAACACAACTATGTTGTCAGGGTATTATAGCTTTATGCAGCCCCAAGCCCCGACTAGCTGAGGCGATCTAGACACGTGTGTCCGTCCGTCCGCCCATCTGTCTATTATAATTTGTAAACACGATATATGCCACAGTTATGGACCAATCTTCATGTATGGGTTCTGGCTAATGAAGACCCCTGTTGTTTCTGGTAAAGATCGGTTAATTTTTAGGGGATGAAATGGGCCAAATACTTAATATTTGTCGTTTTTCCTGGTCGCTCCAGACGCTGCAGTTATGGTCCGAACATTGTGAAATTTTACATGGAGAAGGGGATCGGGATAAAGAATAAGCATGCCTGTTTTTGATAAAGATCGGTCAATATTTGATTTTGACTTTTGTGTGGAAAATGAAAAAAAAATTGGATTCTATGGCGTATATATTTACTTTTAAAAGACAAAGACCCGAGAAGTTGATAGTATATCCAAGAGGTGTGGCTGAACTTTAAATTGATATTAATTATATTGTCGTATGTTATCGGATGTGGAAGTTACATATAAATATTTACAGGTGCTTACGTATTCAGATATTATTTAGTAATCCATTACCACACTAGAGGGCGGAAATATAACGCTGATGAGATTTGAAATTTTCCATGGGGTTTCAGCTATGGTCAAGGAAAGCGCTTATAATTTTCGGTGATGATCAGATAATAATTTTGGGATGAAGTGGACCGAAAACATAATTTTTTACATTTTTTCGAATCGATCTATAGGCCACACTTATAAGCCGATCATCACCATACAACCCACGCTGAAGTCAATCTGGACAAGTAATAAGAAGGGCTGTACGGAATATTAGTAATATTCGGAAAAATGTCAGCGTATGGAAGATGTGCTGTTGACCTCTAATCGGGCAAGAGGGTGCAAATGTCACGAAATATTTCCCACGCTTGGAATAAACTTCCTTAGAATGTTAGAACTCCGTCGTTGTTGTGTAGGATATCGTATGGTCGGCCCCGTCCGACTATACTGCTCCGCTCACTGGTTGAAATATATTTTTTATATTTTAACAAATTTATAAATGGTTTTTTATTGGAATTTATTGTGTCAGCATCAAGTGACGGCAAGAGTGATTCTCAAACTATAAATGCATTTTTTCCGAATCAGTGTTTTACGAATGGCAGGCACGATAACTCAAAACCTAATAATCCAAGGTAAACTTCTTAACACAAATCCACACGTCTTATCTTCTGGTCACTTTTTCATAATTCGTTGGAATATACCGATAAGTATCAAAACAAAAAGTATAGTAACTTGCGTTTACTCTCTTTGTCAATATAATGATGATCACCGGACGTATAACCATTATTTTATTATGATAACAGATATGTAACGTATACGCTTCATGGGGCTTCAAATTGGTACCATTTATAACCTTTTTTGCTATTTTAGTTCTTATTTCCGAAACTAATTCCAAATTCCATGACTCGAGTTCCTTAGGTTCATCTAAATATTACCAGTAATAGAAATTTCCATAACTACCAACCTCAATAACCCAACATAAATCATATTTCCCAACTTCAGAATTATAGCCCGATAATTTTAATTACAAATTTAAGGATTCAGTTCACCTAAATCCAAATTTTGACAAATTTAGTTTCATTTAGTACACATTTGGTCTGTTCCAGTTCTTTTTTAATAGTAAATATAGTAAAAGGGAATAATGTCAAAATCACTCTCAGAGTACATATTAATTACAAAAGTTCGGGAACGGAAATAGTAAATATTTCAAATTTAGATGCCATTACTTCAAAATCAACACAACAGCCAATCAGATGTAGGCATTCCTGTTTACCATTTGTACTCGGTCAAATTTCTCGAGAATGCCATTTTACAATAAGAATGCCATTTTGTTTTGTGTTCTCTTAATTTTGCATGAAAATTTTACTAGTTTATGGGGTTCAGGAACAATTTTTGGGACAAAAATCGATTTTTTGGAATAGTGATTGAAGAGTTTGCCATACACTAGTCAATCTCACATATACAAAAAGGGGTTCATCGGCATGACGGCAAGATTTATAGTGTATGGGGCCCTTTATATTTTGAATTTTTTCGAACGGAAGTCCAATATCGCAACTTAAGTGCCCGACAAATATATAAAATTAACCATGAATGCGTATTGGTTTCAATGCTGATTCAGATTTTCTTTAAAATTTGTAAATATTTTGCGGAAATAAAAGTTCTACAAAACAGTGGGTATGGGGACATGAAAGGACAATCTTCAGTGAAGTGCAGCACTTCTATATTTGTCATACTCGTGGATTATTTTTAGTATACTATTTTTAAATCTATCCTATAATTCACAATTCTAATTTGACTTCTCCTCTTTTTGTCATCGAATTTCATTACAGCATGGCAGGCGATAGCATCTGTAGTATTAACACTGCCCAGCCTCGTTCTTGTTATATATTTATGTTTTTTCCAAACGGCTGTTCTCAAACTTGAAGTAATCATGAGTGCCTTAATGATAGCCCTACACGTAGCTGAAATTGTGTACGCCAGCATGTTCATTTGTACGATGTGTCGACCGGTGACCTATACCTAGCAGTTGATGTTGGCTGTCCCGATGGCAATGACGACACCGACACTATGTGGAGCGCGACAAACAAAATCAAACAATTTTAGTAGTGTAGTAGTTTACATTACCCTGACCATAACGGAGACATCAACACCTACAACAACACTAACATTAACTACACCTTCGTATACACGTATGGATTTGTATTTGCTGCAAACAACCACATCCACATTATCTGTGACTCCAACGATGTGTGGTGAAGAAAGTCCACGTATCCATTGTATACCAAAGCAAAAACAGAAACAACAACAGCAGCAACGTACATTTTGTAATATAGTTAACAATGAAACACAGAACAACAACACCATATATAACACCAATAACCACAACAACATATGCCAATATTTTGTACCAAACAATTACCAAGTTTTCCAAAACACCTGCAACAGCGCCCATAGCAGTAGCAGGACATCAAAGAATGTTAAGCCCACAAGTTGAAGAGTGGCTGTGGCTGTCAGTTGAAAATTTCATTTTTCATTGTAATTAAATTGTAGGATCGCGAAAAAAGATTCCATATATAGAAACAAAACACACCATGTGTACAGTAATTATCGGTAGGATTTTAAAGGTAAGTAGATTTCTTATACCATTTTTTAATTGTAGCGTAACTTTCTGAATTTATTTAGAGAGGTCGTTTACGAGGCCTTTCCACTTAACCATTGACCCGTGTCTTAAAAAATATGTCGGCACGACTTTAACTTTTCATCATGACCCGACAACGTTTTGTTAAAGACTAATGTTCGAGTTCGGACATTGCCCAAGTTTTGTTAAATGCGTTTCAAGATGCAATGTTATGAGTAAAGCGAATGAATGCATAGATGGATAGAATAAAGAATAGCTAATTTACATATTTTGCTACTTAAGTATAGTATTTTTTAATTTACACTCAGACACATTGAAACACACGTACATACATACATACTGTACATTTGTGCATGTTGTATATTTGTGCATCGGATTGTGGGTATGGTAATGCATTTTTAAAAATAGATTTTTTCTTAAATTAACATCTCTAGAATGGGACTGTGCAGAGGCCAAACAAGAAAGCGCGCAAAAATCTTTGTCTGTCTATCTGAAGGTAGGCCAAAAGGTGCCGCCGCCGCTGCTGCAGATGTATTTGCACTTAATTAAAAGTGAATATGCCATAAGCAGCGGGAGCTGATGGATGCATTGGTTGGAGGAAAAGAACGAATTCCAATAGAGCTACTTGGTTGATGTGAAAATAATGCGAAAATCGTGCGATAGAATATTCAGGGCAAATTAGATACTAACAAGTCAGATATGGTTTGATCTATCCTGATCCTATGGTTTGAGGATGACATCGGAATTACACACATGTTTTATTATTGGCTTTATATAAGGTATGTTTTTATGAAAAAGGTTTCGGATTTAATGTTGAGGTAATTCGCCGCAAATTAAATGTACAAGTTTATGAAATATTGGTCCTATGTGGTTGACGTACAAGAAGGAATGGGCCAACGGGTCCCATATTTGGACTTGATCCAGGCTTGGTAAATATAATAGGTTGTGCAACGTTTGTTTCATATCGGACATTCCATTCACCTAATATTTGATTTATAAATATTGACAATTTTGACCATGTGCAGGGGAGGTATCAGAAGAAATGAACCAATGTGAATGAATAGAGCTATAAGATTGAAATTTTGTAATGCTAATCAAAGATGAGAAATAGTGTTGACATAAGGAGATGGTTTCGGAAGTGTGTACTCATGTATTCGAAAAGTACTAAACATTACCAAAATTTGGTACGGATGGAGCTGGAATCTTAAAATTTGAAATTAACATTACCTTCATAGTGTAGGATTGGGATATGTAGGTAGTTTTGGAAATTTGTTTTTATGTGTACGAAAAATACGATATGATACTGAATTTGCTACAATTTGGATTTGGGTGAACCTATTGAGCTGGAATACTGAAATTTGGAAATAAGATTACTACTGCAATGTAGAATTGAGGTATGTAGGTAAATTTGAGAAATCATACTTATGAGTACTAAATGGTACTAATTTAGTACAATTTGGATTTTGGTATAGAGTAGAGAATTCTTACTAATGTGTACTAAATTTGGATTTAGGGTGAACCGATAGGGCTAGAATCCTAAAATTGGGAAATATGATTTATATTGGATATAAATGTGGTCTGGTATTAAATTTTTGGTGCTTCGCCAAAGTTAAAGTACAGTGGTAGTTGTGTAGGGTATCATATGGTCAGTCCCTGGGTTTCATATGGGTTTTGATTATAATACGAACTTATTGACAAACTTGGCACAACTTAAATATTAACCATGTCTGTGTAATGTTGGAAGATGGCTCTTATCGGTCCACTCCTTCTAGTATCTCCCCTACGAAGAGTTTCCAAAAATTGTAAATCTCAAACGAAGCAAACGCGATATCCAATTTTATTTCTACCAAGCATGGGACTCATGGTCTTCTGTTTCTGGTATCTTCCTCACAATGAATTTGAAAACGGTTTTAATCCAATATTAATCGAATGGAATATCACATTTGAATCGAACATTTACCAAACCTACATTAAATCCAAAGATGGTAAATTCACAGATAACGACTTATCCAAAAGTCCCGGGGAAAGCTCTGTCCCTTATTTGAAATCGTTTATAACCACATATCGTTTATAGCTAACAATTTCGCCGGTGCAAAGTTTTGAAAATTCCTAGGCCGTCGGTATAAGTGATTTCGACTGTAACTTATATAAAGCCATTAATAAATCCAGTGTGTTCTAAACACGCTATACATACATATTTAAACTAAATATAAAAATAGGAAAAAAGTGTCAGTCGCCGTTGCGGACACTATTGTTTGCGGAAGGTCTTCGGATTTACACACAGGTTTCGTTTTATACAAAGTATATATTTTTTATCAAGGACGTTTCAGATTTAATGTTGATCTATTCGGCTTTTGAAATAAAATTTACAAGATTATATAATATTGACCCTTTTTGTGGGACGTACCAGAGGAGAGGGCTGACGGTTCCCAACTTAGGACTTGATCAAGCCTTCGTAAAGGTAATAATATACCCAAATTTCCTACAAACTGTTACAGGTTTAGAAAAAAATATTAATTTATTTAAACGAACGATCCAACTCGACTCTAAAAAGTAATTCCGTCGATCTCCACAAACCATAGGCTGAGGGCAAATATCTGCCGATAACACCGGCTGGTACTTGTTTATCTAAACCTTATACGAATGGTAAAAAATCGAAGAAAAAATGCAAATATCAAACTTGCATAGCCCACGAAATATGAAATTTAAAAAAAAAAATTATGTTGTAATCAGATCTCGTACTTCAATTAACAATATAAATATCTTTCGGTAGCTAAATAGCACTCGTAGAAATAGAAATCAATATAAAAAGATAAACGAGGGCTACAATATATGGGCAATATTGCCAATTTTTTAATATTCCGTTTTCAAAAAATCGGCTTTTTTGTTTTTGTTTTCGTGGTACATCAATGATTTTTGGTACACATATAGAGAAAAATGTTCTGAATCCGAAACCGTTCGCGATCAAATTTTGGGCATAAGAAAAAAATCTTCAAATTACGTGGTTTATTATATTGAACATCACGATAAATCAAATGATATCAAAATCACACACGTCTGTGTAGCGGTTTGTAAATTACAGCGACAACAAAACCAGATATTGAGGAAAAATATTTGTTTTTTGTTCGAAGAAATAATGTCACCATATTTAGTTTTTTTTTTTTTAATTTTATACATGGTACAATTATAAAAGGTAACAGCAAATCCCAGCTGATTTGATTCCAACGTAATACTAGTGTCAATATGAATTTGACTAATTATGTTTTTAAAAATCACCCAACAGGAAAATTGGGAACGCATACAATTTGAAATTGTTCTTTATTAATGTGCTCCCGTATTCAATTTACTCAATCTGCCTGCTGGGAAAGTTTGAGGAAGCAAATCTTTCTTGAAGGAATAACTCGCTATTCCCAGCATTGTCATATGTGTTACCCATATATATGGCAATGGCTCAATTAAAGGAAAGATGTGGAAGCGATAGAAATATAAATTTGGATTCATGTTTTCATTCATGTTTTTCAATTTTTATTTTGAGGATTCGAAAATATTCCATTTTCAAAATAAAAATAATTTGATGATAATTTGTTTGTTTGTTTACATTTTTCTGTCAAATGAGTTGACACTAGTAGAACTTACAACAACAAATTTCCATGTGGTTGTTGTATCGTTTTTTGTACAACAACACTTGCTGTTACGAAGAAGATTTTATATCATTCGAAACGTAAAAAAACCCTTACTGACCGCGGGTACCCATATCATTCAGTTGACAGATCTATAAATTTGGCCCGAAAAATAGGTTTTTTAGAAATTTGATCGCACAAAATGTTCACCTTCGGATGAGTATTACCCTGAAGCTGTGAAAACTACATACACAAAATATATATCAAATTACTCAGATTCGCGATACAATAATCTTATAATCGATTTTTAGAAATTCCTGTTTGCGTATTAAAGCTAGAAGTAAACTTAAAAAAACCCTCAAAATCGAGCATCAAAATGACAGCATCATTTAAAGGTAGATGCAGTTAAAATTTTGAAAAATTATACATAAAGTGCGCAGTTCCCATTTTGTTGGCTGCTAGTTTAACTTTGACGCGAAGGACGTGAAATGAGTGGTTTAATCACAAATCGATAGAGAACATAAAAAACTGGTACGCCTCATCCTGTTTTTACACATTTTTTTACATTAAAGTAGACACCGCTTCCACCAAAATAAAGTTTGGAGTTCAGTATCATGAACAGTTTGCAACGACAGATCAATTAACCCAAAACTGTTCACTTTTTTTCATATACTTAAGTAATTCCCGAGTTATAAAGGTGCGAACCTCCGCTTCAGCTATGTTAAAAAATTGGCAATATTGCCCATATATATGTTTGGGATTTCAAAGGGTGAATTCTTTTAATAATAATTTATTTATAAAATGAATTCCAAAAATGAATTCCACTACGCGTCGTTCGTGGCCTACCGTCCGTTCCTACATATATTTCTGGTATAATAATGCTAATGTGAATAGTTATCATCGATTAATACACTTTTCCATAACATTACTACTTTCGTCGTATTTTTGAAGGACCTTTGAGATGAAATAAATAAGATCTGTAGTTATATGTGAATCAATTCATACACATGTCTTCGACAACCTATGCAAAATTCCATTTCATTGGGACAGATTTAGGGTCATTTTGGCACAATGGAAGTTATTTGTTTCAATTTAGGGCTGTATAGAGGATGATCCACAACTTCAATGTTTTTGGCCGAGGTATAAGTCGATGTGTTGTTTTTTCGAATATCTCCGAAAACTTTATGCAAACAAATTGGGTTGTACCACTCAGAATTGACCTCCTTTGTTCTTGTAAATAAATTGCTTCGAAGGGTTACTTGTCGATTTTCTTACTCCCTGTTATATGCCAATTATAGGAGCAAAACGAATCATCAAATCATTGACCGGCATAGTGAGTTAATGAGCGCTAATTAAATTTATATTTAATTTGAAATGTAACGGCACATCATTCCAAATTCATTTCATTTGTTTTGGCTTTGTTTGTATCGTTGTGCTCGCAGTACACTGCATACGAATTTGTGACGCCATTCACAGTTCGTAAATTACATTTTTTTATTGGCAATGTCTGGATTTGAATTTGGTGTAAATCATAAATTTACGACTTGCAATTCGATGTTGTATTTGCGGGGTGAATGAAATAAAGAAACTAAACACAAAACAATAGGCCTCCTTCGGAGTGTTTTAGTGGCTAGTATTAAAGAAGAATAGTGTGTAAATGATGTGTCGATTTTAGTTGATTATACAAAGAAATGTAGCGCTTTTCGTGATATCGTCGTAATGTTGTTCTTCTTCAGCGACGTGTTGGTGAATTATTGATGTAGTACCCGTGCGTCGTATGATTCATGTCGACACCGATAACACTAATACGATGCTAATTTTAATTTAATGTTAAATTTACATACAGTAGAGTCTTTATAATTGCAAAAAAATTAAATTAAAGTTGTAGGACATTAATATATCCTTCGGTGTTTTGCATAAGATAAATATTGAAAATTGAAGACGTCCCATTTAAAGGCTCTTGGAGGGTAAAAAACTTGATGGCATAAAATAGCATACAAATATAGAAAATTTACAATGTCCATGTGTCGACGTAGCTTCCATATAAGGGTCCCGCTTTTAGGTATTTGAAAATATCACATACGTAGAATTATTACAGTCAAAAGTATCCACCTGTTTTTTATAATAAAAATGCCATAAGTTCATGTTAATCAATGCTTTAATTTTTGTTCTTTTTTATATGTGAACATGAACATCTTAACGCAAAATGAATGCAATAAAATAAACAATATTTCTGTGAATTCAATATAAAAACAATCATTATTCTTAAACAAATGCAATTGCAACCTCACAATGATTACAGTATCCAAAATAAAAGTTTTTTTTAACAATCCCTTGTTATATTTTACAGCGTTGAACATTACCAGCATAGATTTTACCAAGTTTTCCTTGTGAGATGTCTGAATGCATTTTTACGATTTGGCATGCTTCAAATGTTATGGCTGTTAATATTTTTCTCCAAAATACTCCATTTATTCTCTATAGGATTCAAATCCTGTGACTGAGCAGGCGTTTGAACTTTGGACAATTATAAAGAATCCATTGTCGAACTGTATAGGACTTGTGTTTGGGTTCATTATTTTGATAAAATTGAAATGTTGTCCCCAATCCGAATGTTTCAGCATTACATATCAAATTACCTTTTAAATAAATAAACTTATATATCTTATCCATAATGCCTTCAATAAAAATGAGATTCCTACTTCGGCAACCCCATACCATTACAGAGCATCCTGCTTTACGGTCGGAGTTGTGTGCTTAGGGTCCACGGCATTATTCGCCCTGCACCATATCTTACCTTACTTCGTCCATCTGTCCCAAATAAGTTAAGTTTGCTTTCATCACCAAAAATAACAGATTTCCATAATCACAAAATTTGTTTTCGTGTTCCTTGACGAAGTCCAATCGGATTTTCCGATTTTTGGGGTTTTTTGAATGTTTTTTTTTCAGTGCAAATCTGCCATGAAGACCATGCTTACGCCAAATTCTTCGATTTTTTATGTTACATCTCTTTCCAGATATTTCTGTAAGATTTCAACAAGTTTAGGCGCACTTAGCTTTGGATTATCGACCACTTGGCACAGCAACCACTTTCTGCCTCTTACATTGAATATGTTTTTCTCGCTGGTTTTAGCGTTGTTGCAAATTCCATTCTCGGTTTTGTGCCTCAATATAATTTTTTGGACAGCAGATCGCGTAAGATTGAGTACGCCCGTTATTTTTCGTCTGCTAAGGCCCCAGTCACTTCTAAGTATACGTTTAACATTCCCTACAAGCGCTAATAGCTTATCCCAAAGATAATGAATGGTGGACGACTACGTCACAAAGTTCCCTTGAGATGCATTGCTAACGTCTTGTCGAACACCACCTCCACACCAACTCGACTAGCCCATTCAGACGTTATGCTCAGGGCCTCCTTATTTCTAGTCTTCAGCTCAAGACGAGCCTCACCTTCTATCAAATTGAGAGGTCAGCATATGCACGCACTTGGAACAATACCGACAATGAGTGCAACAAGGTATTCAGCATTATGTTCCATATATATGGACCATTGATAGAATTCTAAGGACACCCACGGGCAACATCACGCCAAACTGTAGCACTGGCAGCTACAAACCCTTGATTTTCTGTTATTAAAATAACTACGCCAAAGCCATAGCTCACGGCAACCAACTTCCTCCAACCGTGACAAAGTTCCTTTGAAAAGCATTGTCGACAACTTGTCGAACGCCATCTCCACACTGACTCGACTACCCCATTCAGACATTATGCGCATGAACTCCTCACTTCTAGTGTCCAGCTCAAGACGAGCATCGTCTTCGACCAGAAAGAGAAGGTCATCCGCATATGCACACCCTTGGAACGATGCCGACAATGAGCGCAACAAAGTATACATCATTAAGATCAAACTGTAGCACTTGCAGCTACAACAACTTCTTTTCTATTATTAAAATAACTACGCCAAAGCACTAGCTCACGGCAACCAACTTCTCCAACCGCGTGAGCACGCTATCCCAGGATAGATAGTCAAACGCACCTTTGAAAACTACAAATATGCCCAGTACATAGTTGGCACTTGACTGTCTAACTAATCTGCTAACACTACACCACTACCTTACCTGTACCGAACTGGTCCTCGGCTAATCCAACCTCATAGCTCTCCAAAAGTCGTGACACTATTATCTTTTCCAATGATTTTGCAAGCATTGTGCCCACGCAGGTAGGCAAACGCAGCTTTGAAATCTACAAGTATGCCCAATACACACTTGACTGTCTACATCACCACCTTGCCGGAAATCGAACTGCTCCTCGGCTAATCGACAACAAATGGTCTGAATCGGATTTAACCCAAAGAAAAAAACCGATATTTTGATCGTATAAAATGCAGAGGGTAAAAATATGTGTTCCATGATTCATCGTATATTCCGATCAGGTCGCTAGCTATCTCAAAAGAATATTTGCTGATAAGAAATATTCGTCTTTATGGAAAGGCGAAATCCGAGACATACAAAAATGGTATCGAAAAGTTGGAGTACCCAATAATCAGTACCTCAGCCATAAAAAAGTTATAAAAAATAAATAAAATCCGAAAATCTTGCTATGGTAAACTATGAACGTTACAATGGATCTGCTTGCATGGTTAGTTCATGAAATCTCTAAACAACTTTGGCATTTTTCTCTACCAAGTAGCCCAAAAGAATTTTCTTAAAAAAATATCTGAAAGTTCGTTGTACTCTAATACATTCAGCACAAATATATTAGACACGATCATGAGCAAAGAAGACCAGCTCTTTTTTGCTCTTAACAAGTTGTGACCACCACAAAGGTTTTCACAAGAAAAAGACAATATTTTCATAATGTTGTTGTTGTTACTGTTTTTGCCATTATATCTTCCTTAGCATAATATGACGAGCACAATTGAATTGAATTTAATTGCTACACAAGACGGAGATTCGCAAATGAGATTCGCATTCCGTTGATCAGTCTAAAAATACAAGTCGAACGCAACAAACAAGTCAACGCTTTCTAGTCGAGTGCAATCGGGGGCTATTTTTAAAGGCAAAAACTATGAAAATGTGAAACGCATTCTACACAAAATCCAATTCAAATAAATTAATTCATATTGAAAATACAAAATGTAAAATTGTCAATGTAAAAGGAACGGAAATAATTGATCTGCCCCCACTTTGATGTTGAACTAAAGAAAAAGAAGAAGAAGAAAAAATGCCACCAAAACGTCCACCACCATTGGTACCAAAGAAACCAAACCCCAGCATGGTCTACGAAGTGCTCATCTATTTGAATTCATTCTATTTTGGGATGTTCGCATTCTGCGAACTGGCCATGAGTCTGCTGAAGGCTATAAATTTAACATATCCTTCAGAAATATTGATACGTGACATGGTTATGATTGTGGCTTATTGTTCTTTGGAGACAGTGCGTGTGATTTTGGGACGTAGAAGTTCATTGGCCGATCGTGGTAATTATAAATTGTAGTAGTTATATTTTAAAGTGATATCGTATGCAAAGAATATTATATCGGATTTGTATAACATCCCCAAACATTTTTTGGATGTTCTCACATCCGTGGTCTACTGTATATTTTCCATCATAAGGTGTAGTGTATATTTGTAAAGATGTTCCAATTATTTAATTGTAATTTCAATTGTAATTCTATTATAAAATATTTTCCTCAAGTATAACCCCATGGAGGTTGGTTTTGTCTCTGTAGATAAGTGCGTCAATTTCTTTACATCAACAAATGAGCGCACCAATATTTGTGAGTGTGTGTGTGGACTTCTATGAAATCCCTTATTACCACTATTATATCGTGTGGCTGCATTATCCACTATTCTATGAAGAAAGCAATGCCAGCCTGTTAAAATTACTAAAAAGATCGCCAGATTTAAAATAATCGTTTCAAAATGCCCATATAGATTGTTATTTCTTCGTCTGATGAGTTTGTAATTTAACATTCCGAGTTCTTGGTTCAGTTTCATTTTAGCCAATGAATTAAATTTTATTATTTTTTTTTTATAAGTGAACATGAACATCTTAAGTTATAAATCATCCATTCTCGAACGACCTGGAACATGTGTTTGGGGTCATTATTTTTCTAAAGTTGAAATGTTGTCCCCGATACCAAATTTTCAGCTCTAAATTTTATATTATAAAGTCGGTATTGTTTGCTTAGGGTCCACGTCTTTATTCACCCTGCACCATACCTTAACTGACCCATCCGATTCAAACTAAATATTTTTTTTCATGCTCTTGAACGAACTTCTATTAGACTTTCCGACTTATGGGGTTTATGTATGGCTTTTTCAGTATTTCTCTACCATGCTTATGGAAAATTCTTCAAATTGTTTTTGGGTTACATTTCATTTCTAGATATTTCACTGCGTTTTTAGCACGTTTAGGTGCACTTAGCTTTGGATTATCGCCACTTGTCGGAGAACCCTTATATTGAATATTTTTTTCGGTTGTTGAAAATGCGAATCCCGGTTTTGTGCCTCAATATGACTTTTTTGATCAGCAGATCGAGTAATATTGAGTATTTCCGCTATTTTCCGCTGAGATTTTCCTAGTTCAGGTGAAGAACTAATTTCGTCTCGGCAATCATTGTGTGGTGTCCCATGGTCTCAAATTCTCACGATGGCTATCCAAATAAGTAAACTCCGCATAAAGTGCAAAATTCGAAGTTGTAAATAATTTCTTTTGTTTAACAATTTTATTTATAATTACTTTTTTATTTTGAATTTATAAAAATATTGTCTATTTTTATTTCAATTTTAGGTTATGTGAGTATATAAAAAATAATGAAATTGTATTCATTAATTAACACGCACTTATGCCATTTTTATAATGAAAATGCCAAGTGGTTACTTTTGACTGTGACTAACTGTATATAAAGGGTGTCCCAAGTAGAACGATTTTTTTTTTTAAATTATATAAATCGCAGAAAATTAAAAAAAAAATTGAAACTTTATTATATCGTAAAGTTGACAGAATGAGGTTATGTATGAAATAAGATATCGTGCAGATGGCCGCAGTGGCTTTGTTGGCATACGCACGATCTTTTAATAAAAATTTCAATGACCATTTTTCATAAATGTAGCGGTATTTCTTTAATGTATCGTCCAATTTCCACGTTTTTTCGAATTTAAAAAATCCAAAGAAAAAAATCTAAGGGGTTTAGGTCACACGATATTAGCTGTCAATTCTGGTCTCCAATAGGCGAAATAACAAGACCGGGAAATGACTGATGCAGCAATTGAATTGTTTCAATGGCTGTATCATGGTACAATAAGTAGGTAGTCCATTTAAAGCAGCTGATGTATCGATTAACTGTCAAAGTGCGTAATTTCTACTTGAATTGTATAGTGTTGCCAACCATGTGAAATATTATAAGGAAAAATTTGAAAGATAATCGAGACAAAAACAAAGGTTTTTGTTTTGATACATCGTCTTATTATTGCATCATGGGTTGTATGACAGAGGTGTACAGATAGAAAATGCTCAGAGTAAACGAGAAACCGGCATATGAAATGACTTACTAAAAGAAAACGTAGAGAACGAGCTTATTGATACATGTAAACAAGGGCACCAATTGCCATGCTTGCACAGCACTACTGTAGGACATGTGGCGCCGTCTTGTTGAAACACATGACCTCCACATTCATTTCCTCAATTCTATGCAAGAATCGTTGCCCTCCGCATTTATTTCTTCAAATCTAGGCAAGAAAAAAACTTGTTATCTGTAGTATAGTGTAAATATGCCGGTACTAAAAATTGCAACTATGCAAAAGTATCATTAGCTGTCAAGTTGCATCTGACTCTTTCTTCTTAAATTAGTGATCGATGTAAGCACACGTTGTAATAAAAAATATACTTTTAATTTTCTAAATAAATAAATGAATTACATATGAAATTATCATATTAATTGGCGACGAGGGTCAAATGCAGGAAGAGGAGAGAGCATCTGTACCAGAAACAAAAAGGATGGCTACAAAATTAGGCGATTTGTGTTCTTTTAATGTCGCTGCCGGTAAATGGCAGGTTTATGAGGAACAAATGCAGTTTTTCTTCATGGCCAATGGGATGGTCGATGATAAAGTGAAAAAGGCTATATTACTGTCATCGTGCGGAACAGAGACATATGCTCTGCTCAAGTCGATTGCGACACTAGAAAACATCATTGATACATCTTTCACGTTCGAAAAAGCAGTAACGCTATTGAGAAAACATTTTTGCCCACATGCAAATATAATAATCCAGCGATTTCAGTTTTACAGAAGAGACCAGCTTGAAGGTGAATCGATTCCAGAGTATTTAGCAGCTCTTCGAAAATTATGTCAAAGCTGTGATTTTAAAGATTTGGATGAAATGCTGAGAGACAGATTGGTTTGTGGAATGAGAGACACGAATGTTTAGAAAAGGTTTCGGATCAAAAAGGAGACAACGAGAAGTATATTTTGTCCGTCTCTTGTCAAAATAGATCATCGTTTATACGAGAGGTAAAAATATATGACCGTGCAGTGAAGATGGAAATTGATTCCGGGGCCAGTCATTCTATTATGAGCCAGAGAAAATTCATCGAATATTTCGGAAAGATGCCTCTCGAAGAAAGTGATAATCAGGGAATGGCCCGTCATTGATTGGAAGAAATTGGTTTCATGAATTAGGAATTCAAATAGCGAGCAGTTGTAACCGGATCGATGCCAATATTCCAGAACAAATTGAAATGTACAGCGAAGTATTTAGTGAGGGTCTAGGCGACTATAAAGGAGACAAAGTAAAACTCAACGTAATGGAAGGTGGTAAGCCAAAGTTTTATAGATTTCGTCCGGTGCCATTTGCCCTTAAACCCAGAATAGAAGCTCTACAACAAATGATTGACGACAACATCATTCTACAACAATCGTTCCAGTGGTGAAACCAGATGTAGTATTAGAATATGCGGGGATTACAAGTGTACGGTAAATCAAATTCTGTGTAATGAGACGTACCCCCTTCCGACCAACACTGAAGTTTTTGCAACACTGTCCAACTGTAAGTGGTTTTCAAGGCTAGATCTCGACAGAGCTTATACCCAAGCAAAGTTGATGAGGAATCTGCAAAAATTCTAACATTGAAAACTCACAAGGGATTATTTGGAGTAACCAGATTACCTTTCGGAATATCCACAGCACCAAGCATTTTTCAAAGGCTAATGGAAAGCATATTAGGCGATGTTCAAGGAGTAGTTGTTTATTTAGACGATATTCTGATTGGAGGCTCAACAATGGAAGAAATGTGGAGACGTACAAGAGAAAGGAACACTTCAGCGCATACGAGATGCAGGCCTCAAATTGAAGAAAACAAAATGTGTATTTGCAGTGCCAGAAATAACATTTTTAGGGTTTGTGATAAATCAGAATGGAGTCAAACCAACTTGTGAAAAAGTAAAGGCAGTTTCGAACGCACCCGAGCCGACAAATATGCAACAACTCCAGGCCTTCTTAGGATTACTTAATTTTTATGACCGATTTTTCAAGAACAAAGCAGATTTAATGGAGCCATTATACAGATTGCTAAAGAAGGACGTTTGTTTAAAATGGGGTAGCGAACAGAAGTCCAGTTTTATGAAAGCCAAAGAAATTTTAAAGTCTAAAATGGTGTTGGTACACTACGGGAGATGCATCACCATATGGAGTTGGAGATGCATCACCATATGGAGTTGGAGCCGTTCTCGCTCATATGATGCCAGATGGAAGAGAGGCACCAATAGCTTTTGGTTCGAGGACACTGCAGCCAGCAGAAAAAAATTATTCTCAGCTCGACAAAGAAGCGCTCGCCATTATTATTGGGATAAAGAAATTTCATCAATATTTGTGTGGTCGAAATTTTACAATTTATACGGATCATAAACCACTACTAGGGCTTTTAAATCCTAAAAAACCAATTCCACAGCACATATCACCCAGGTTGTTAAGATGGTAGTTAATGTTGGGAGCGTATCAATACGAAATTAAATATAGAGAGGGATATAAAAATCAAAACGCAGATGCCCTTAGTAGGTTGCCATTGGTGGTTGATAAAGGTGTTTCAGTGAATTTAAACGTATTATACCACATTGAAGGTGAGGAACCGTTTTTAATAACATCGAAAGATTGCGAGAGCACAAGAACAGATCCAGTAATATCCAAAGTCATGTTTCACATACAAAGAAAGCACAACGATTTGTTAGCAGATTCAGAAGAAATCAAACCATACGCCACAAGAATAAATGAACTTTCAATTGAAGGTCAATGTTTGCTATGGGGAAGCCGAGTAATAATTCCAAAAAAACTTCGTTGGAAAATGTTGACAATGCTACATGAAATACATCAAGGCATAACATCGATGAAAGCAATCGCTCGCAGTTACTTCTGGTGGCCGGGATTAGATAAAGATATTGAGACCTTAGCAAGAGGATGTGAAAAGTGTTGCCAATATAGCAAGAATCCTCCAGCAGCAGAGCCGAAACAATGGCCAGCTACTCGAATGCCGTGGTCCAGATTACACGTAGATTATGCAGGTCCATTTTTGGGAACAAATTTTTTAATTGTGGTTGATTCTCATTCAAAATGGGTAGAGGTAAAAATTACGAATTCAATCACATCAAGTAGGACAATTGAAATGTTACGCGATATATTTTCGACACATGGCATACCTGACACAGTCGTTACGGACAATGGGAGAAATTTTGTATCGGAACGTGCGAACGGCACCATACCACCCTTCTTCAAATGGACAAGCGGAGAGGTTTGTGCAGACAATTAAAAATCTTCTGAAGAAAGTAAGTTCAACGAATTTAAAGAAGGAAATAGCCAACATACTTTTGAGACTTCGCACCACACCAAACAACAACAACATGACGCCGTCCGAAATGTTGATGGGGAGGAGGATAAAGACATTAATGGATCACATACACCCAGCCAATTCAAAAATGGAACAAACCATACCACAGACGACAGTAAGGAAATTTAGAACAGGTGATAACGTTTGGTACAGGAATTATGGTAATGGTGAAAAATGGTTGCCAGGAACGGTCCAGTCTACCGGTTCGAGGAATTATGAAATTATAGATGGTAACAATATGCACTCAAGGCACATAGACCAGCTGCGTAGCCGGTTACCCGAAACAACAACAACACCTTTGACAACAACTGATTCTATTGGACAAAATACGCCAGATGAGACCGAACAACATGCAGTTCCAGACAGTTTGCCACTTGAAAATACAACAACTATAATAGACACTACACCAGCAACATTCCAAGGACCCGAGCAAACACCAAACCGAAATCGTCCAGTACGCACTAGGAAAGCTCCTCAGAGATATGGTGACTACGTGATGGGGGAGGAACTGTAGTACAACGTAAATATGCCGGTACTAAAAATTGCAACTATGCAAAAGTATCATTAGCTGTCAAGTTGCATCTGACTCTTTCTTCTTAAATTAGTGATCGATGTAAGCACACGTTGTAATAAAAAATATACTTTTAATTTTCTAAATAAATAAATGAATTACATATGAAATAATCATATTATTATCATTTCACGATACCGAACATCATTGACTGTTTGTGCTTGACCTGCCTCATTTTAATAAAAAAGTTACAATAATTCCAATAAGTTCCTCCAGCCCAAAAACCACACCGCGTAGTGGCACGTTGAAAATGCATTTGCTTCTCGTGAATCACTCAAGGATTTTCCTCACTCCAATTGCGAGAATTCTGCCTAAAGACGAAGCTATCAGGAATGAAATGGGCCTCGGGTAATTTAAATGTTAATAAAACCAGCTCTTAAAAATTTTGAGATTTTCATATATAATTTTAATTGTTTTACATTTTTTGCACCCAGCCGCTGGTTGGCCGATGCGGCTACCGTATTAAATATACCTTGTGTAATAGTACGTTTACATTGTACTGGATTTCGTTAACCCTGCGGGTTTAAATTGTCAATTCCATTGTATACATGGCAAATAAATCCTCATAAAGTAGGTTAACCCGGTGAAAAGATCTAATGTAAATGCGGTTTAAGACAAAGTGAGAATGCGTTGTTCATTCGTGTAGCGCTAAGGGATAAGTAAATCGGCTTTCGACAAATCGATTAATCGACTTTTTGTATTGGAAAGTCAAAGTGGACTTTTGATCGCTGAGGAAATCGCAAATTCGTCTTTTCAAGGCCAACTTTAAATTTTCTTCATAAATGCTTGGCTTATTATCAGAAAGCCAAAATTACGCCTTTTATCACATTTTTAATCTAGAATTCTAAAGTCGATTTTGAACTGGTTTGACAAAATCGAAAAGTCGTCAAGGGTCAAAATCGACTTTTTGTTCAGTGGCAAAATTCTAAGAGTCGACTTTTTCGCTCGACTATGTATCCCTAGTAGTGCTTCCTGTTATTTCCTGTTACTCCTCTTGGGCGCATTGAACTTTCGCAAAGTTTGCCGGTTAACTGATGTCCGTAACATAACCAGAATGACGCTTTAATCGAATCCCCAAGGATCTCGAAATCGAGGTCGACCAAGAAACACCTGACGATGAAATATAATTAAGAGGAAATAACATTACATGCTTCTTCCCATGACATTTTTTCTTAATATGTGGCCGATCCATCTTCATTCCAACGTTTAATATGTTCTTATATGGGTTCCTGGCGAAATACACTTCATCTAGACTTCTTTACAATTAAAGGGGTCAGAAACCTTAAAAAGTTTAGGGGACGACTTCCTTTTCGACGGGTTTCCAAAGACCGGGATCATCTTCTGATGTCTCACTCAAGGCAGTTTTATCCTTTTTAGAAGTTTTTATTTTGATAACTTTTCGTTGTCCAGGCCACGATATTACTTTTCTGAATAACTTTCTTGGATTCTGTAAATAAAAAACTCCAATGAAAATATAGTAAAATAATCGAAAAATCTATTGAAAAGAAGAGCTGACACTACAATTTCTGTTCAAAGTATTTTAAGCACTACAGAATAAAATTTCGATCCCCTAGACATGTTTGCCTCCCTTTTTAAGTAACACCGTATAAATTGTCTACGTTAATTTAATTTGTTTTTTTTTTTTCTTTCTTTGCAGGTTTTCCAGCAATTGTATCGGTTCTTTTGATTGTTCCATGCCTATTTGGTGTCAACTACATTTTACTCTTACAGCTATACAAATTACGTCTGGAATATGTTCTGTGCGTTTTACAATTGGGTTTATACATCACCGAAATTTGGTATGCCATCTATTTTGTTTTCACACTTTGTCGACCCATAAATTACGATTAGAAAAAATCAATATTTTATAATATTTTTTATATATATAAATAAATATAAATAAAATATATAAACTTACACCAATATATTTTAATTGTATTATAAAACAAGTGAAACAATTAAAACATTTAATAACAATGCAATATAATAACATTATCAAAAAATATAATTTCCAATAAAATAAAGTAAATGACCAAAAATTTGAAATTAAAACAAAAAAAAAAAAAAAAAATAAAATAATTCGATAAAAATTGAAAACTGTTATAAATATATTTGAATGTATTTTTAAGAGTTACAAAATTTGTAGATTTAAGTTTGATTTTATAAAAACAAATTGTAAATGTCTGTCTCACTCTCAATATTGAGATGAGAGTGTTTTTCAAAGAGGTCCTCTGTCTCTCTCTAAAATGGTTTCGTTAATTAATCCAAATAAATTAAAAAAATTATTTATGTATATTTTATTTATTTTCCTATTTTGTAAAAGGTATACATTATTTTCTTCAAAGGTAGGTGGTGAATTTACAATGCTACATATTTTACAAGGTTAGGTGTAAACATTGTACAATTATTAAAAGGTATGGTTTGGGCATGGCACAATGACAGATAATCGAGAAAAAAAACAAAAACCTTTGTTTTTGTCTCGACCATCTGTCAAAATGTTCCTTATAATATTTCACATGGTTGGCAACATTGCACATCGAATTCAAGTAGAAATTTCGCACTTTGACAGTTAATCAAGACATCGGCTGCTCTAAATGGACTATTCATTGTGCCAAGTGTGTGAGCATGATGTAATAACAAGATCATGTATCAAAACAAAAACATGTTTTTTTGTCACGAACATCTGTCAATTTTTTTCTAGTAATACTTCACATTGTTGGCAACATTACACATCAAATTCAAGTAGAAACTACAAGTCCTTTGATAGGTGAAAATGTGCCTCATGGAAATATTGGTTTTAGACCCCATGTTTCTTTGGAAAAAATCCGTTTCCGACAATTTGGAGTCGAATTACAAATGTCCGTCTGTCTGGCTGAGCAACCGATTTCGTCCAAACTTTGCACATGGTAATATTTTTTCCAGACTTAGTTTACCACCCTCACAAATGGTCAACATTTTATAAAATTTGATCAACAATAAATGCGAAACCTCTTTGATAAAAACATATATCTTATTATATTATAAAACTAATAATAAAATCTGTGTGTAATTCCGAAGACCTCCGCAAACCATATGCTGGGGTATATATCTGTCGCTTTTTACTTGTTGTTGTTGAATTGTTAAAATTGGTCTCGCACTTTACTCTCTTTTACTGTATTTTTGGATAAACAGACAAATGTTTAATGGATATGGTTAACAAATGTTACATTTATGGTCTGTCCACAACCTGCAAGAATGTACATTTTTTTACTACGATAACAAATTTTCCTCTATGATATCGAAAAATATAGTAAAAATTAATAGATTCTTGCAGTACGGGAACAAGCCATTAAGCGGTGTACACACTATCATTTTTGACTGTCAGCTTTTTTATCGATTACTGACTGTCCAACAACCATAAATATTTTTGTGGTTGCCTGATGAATGACAAAGATGTGAGGCCACACTATCAAACAAGCAAAATTTGAGCAAGAGTGCCATTCAAAAATGCTAGTGTGTACACCGCATTAGTAACATTTGTTAACAATATCGAGTAAACAGACAGAAGTAATATTTAGGGAAGCAAATGGATGCATTAAATTCGGCTATTTGAAATTATCTCGATTTAGGATCAGGAGAATCAATGGTATCATACTGGCGATGCTTCAATTTGCCTCGCCAAGTCTATATTTGATCCTTGAGAATATCTATATGGCGTGTTTGACTCTCTTGCTTTCAGGATCTATGGAACGAGTGTCTTGGTCTCCTCAAGACTCTCGAATCGGCCTTGGAGATTAGCAGCCTGTTTTTGTAATTTGTTCCGGCAGTCACACGTATCGTTCGTATTAAAACGTATACGTCGAAAATTTGGTTTTTGTAATAATTGTAAAAGCTTTCGTCTAGAAACGATTGAGCTTTTTCATTCGTTATTAACCATTAGTGCCAAAGTGTTTCTTTTGGTGTCTTGTTGCAAATTTTCCAATAGAATTATTGCAAAATGAGGGTAACTCTGTTTATTGTTTACAAACAGTTTTTTTACATAAAAAGTGTCAAAATAGAAAATTCAAAATGTTTGGTACGATTGCAATTAATTTTAATTATAAAGAAAAGCAAAATATTCCCCATAGGAGAATACCTATGGCATTTAATGATACAGCTACATTATTCCACTTGTTATCCACTTCAAATTTATTGGATCCGAAAACAGGACGGCCAGTTGCTAATTGTGGGTAAAGTTCCATGAGATCAACCAATTTTTGGAATTGGGCAATCGTTGTCCTTTTGTTGCTAGGGGTTCAAACAATTCAATATAATTTTTAACATTTCATAGGGATATATAATTTTTTACAAACCATTTCTTCTTATATATTTCATCAGAATTTTCCATATTTGTTACGTTCTTTTCACTAACAACACACAAATTGTAATGAACAAATAGTTTTCTTTATTATTTTTTTAAACGAATGGTATTTTCTCTTCGTTTGTTTTTGACATTTTTGTTCGTAAATAACGCACCGTTTTGTATAACAAAAACCAAAAAAATACGAATACCAAAAGCTCTTTCCTATTTCTCACTCACTACAACCGGTAATTTGTTTGCGAAAACCAAAATGAGCAATCGTTCGTTTTTTGGACGAACGAATGGACATTTTACATTTACAAAAACAGGCTGTAGGAGTCGTTTGTTGTTTAGAGAGTGATTCGAATTAAACTCCGTACAAAAATCGGTGTTCGCTCAGAAAATTTTACATGGGGAACTAAGTAATTAATTCATAATTCAGGGTCGAACAACGAATGATAGAGCGATAGAATGATACATTGCATAATTGTACACATACTATTAAAGTACGTTTAGATTTACGAAATCCACTCCATTTCAAATGTCAATTCCAATACGTACACGTCAAATATAATCCACGGGATTTGTAAACATGATTAAGGTGACGTATACACAATGGAATTGACATATGAGATCGAGAGGATTTAGTAGTCTGAACGTGCTCTTAATTATGATCTAAACGTCAATCAGCTGATATTTGTTATAGCCCTTTTAGACTACTATTTGCATTTGATTTGAAACGTCAATTTCCATAGCGTACATTTGACTTATACGCCATGGAATTCATATTTGAGATTAAGTGGATTGCGTAAATTTAAACGCAATTTTTGTGTACATTCACAATTTGCGCTAAAAATATTCATTTGTAGTTTCAAAATGAAAAGAAAAATTACAACAATTGAAAGGTTCCTGCAATGTTTTGATTATTTGCGAAATACGTGCTGAACACAATAATTCCATTAATAAATTTTATTTCCTTTCGTTTTTTGCATTTTGCATCTGTTGAATATCAAAAAGAAACTACAGTTTCAAATTTTGTTCATTGTAAAAGCGATGTATTTTTCGTATAAAAACCGTGTTGCATCTAAAATAGTATCATGATTTTGTTTGATTTACATTTGTATGATAAAAAATGGTAAATTCAGCCATAAAATAAACCCTGCCACAGGTTGATTTAAGTTTGGGCCCCCGGGCCGCCCCCCTGCGTACGTCCCTGATGAAGTGGATAATATATATATAAGCTGTGTTCCCAAACTTGCAATATAGTACTATATTGTACTAGTTTTGCAGTTATTGCTAGAAAAGCGTTCCCTTACGCCAAAAACTAGGAAACATTTAAGTTAAATTTAAGAGAGTTGAAATCAAAATGGCGTTCTCTTCTCCTATTTTCTGCAAGACCAATTTGGCCTAGTACGAAATAGTAAATGTAGTAAATTATGAATTTGACAATTCATTTCCAGAGCTATACAGTTCGAAATAAACCATATGCAAGTTAGCGCTTCAACAAACAAGACACACGCACACACATATATGCTTAAAAAAACAAAAGAATTAAGAATGAAGAAGCAGTTCTTTATTCACTTTTGGAGGATTCATCTATCGAAGATGAATAGCTTGCAGAAGATTCAGATGAAATTTTTTACTCAGAAATTGTAAAATGGACGCCTTTTAACTTATATGTTTCTTTGTGTGCATTAGGTCTCTGTAGTCCGTTTTTTGTCATTAACTGATGAAATTTTTTATTTTGACGTTTCTTCATGTTTTCACTATTTTTCGTTCCTATACTTTTTGCGCAAATCTTGTATGTGAGAGCCATTTTTGATAGTTCGTTCTTTTACTAGCTTTACTATCAAAAAGTACGGGAACGAACCTATAATTTTGATAAGTTATTGATTTTTCAGTTAGTCAGTAGTCACACGGGCAAATTTTGTGGTAAAGTAAATTGAGTTTATGGGCGAAGGAAGTGGGAGGAATAAAAGGGGGTACAGACATACTTGTACTCCGCAATTCTGTTTTGTTTCGATATTCGTTGTAAAAAACTGAAATTGGCTGCAGAAAAGTTTTACGTTTTCTTTCATTTTATGTTTTTTGTTGGCAAACAAACAGTAGGGCAGTTTATAAAATAAAAATCTTTTGCGAGGAAAAAACCACATAATATATCTTCATTGCAATCCACGACTATAGATTCTTCGAGTAATCGAAGAGTTCCTTTTATAATTAAGTTTTGTTTTCTTTTAATTCCATTTTTTAATTTTCATGAACAATGATCAAACGAGAAAATAAGTGTGTGGAAGAATTAGGAAATTCATAAATTTGATGCAAGAGTTATTTTGCGTGTCTAAACAACAATGAAATTTTTAAAGAAATTTAGAAGAAAATTTGTCATGAAATTTTGCTCGTGTGACTACTGACTTAAGCACGAACATAAAAAAATTTCAATTTTATTGTCATTTATTATTTAAAATTTGTTATTAATGATATATATTTTTTAAATTCAATTCTAATAAAAAATACTAAAAAAGAATATAAGCAAAAATATATTTAAAATATAATTTACACTCA